CCACAAATACACCCGCAAACACATCCACAAACACACAATCACAAACACACAACCACAAACACACAATCACAAACACAAACACAACCTCAACACAGCACACAACCACAACACACAACCACAGCACACACAGCCCGAGGACCCACAAGCAAAACCGAGAACTACAATACTCACGACCATGGCAACATGCTCCTCACTATGGTATCAAGACAAATGATTGAAATGTCATGGTGGGGATCACTCGAAGTAAAGTAATGTTTGCAGCTTTTTCCCTATAACGTGTTTCAATTGTGATTGTTTTGGATTGTCCATGTGTTAAATTGTATTTCTTAGATTGCAGACAAAAAGACCAACAGACTTATTTGACGCTCATTTATCTATTCTCTATCTATACTACATTTTTAAATGCTACACATTGTACTTTAAGTTTACAATGTTTTACATCATATATTTTTATCTACTGTATATATTTTATACAAAGTATTTACAGTATAGTATGCGTATTGTTATTTTTGTAGTCTCTACTTTGCATATGGTTATATATCTTGTTGAATTTGGAACATATGAATATGTGTGAAAACAAACAACAAGAAAGTTCGATTACTTGGTATATCTATTATGTGTATAACTTTCCTTTTTTATACAATATATTAAAATGTATTTTTCTTATATTGTATATATTCCATTTTTTTAATTTAATCAGTTTGTTGTATTTACTTTTAAGATTTCTTTTTATATTTGAGCATACTGTTAGTAATGCAAATAGTTCTTGTGTGCATTCATTTTTTTGGTGTATTTACTTTGTGAAAAGACGAAAGCACAGAACAGTTTATGTGAACAAACATCGTTTACCTGCTTTCTATATTTTTGTACGCCAGCAGTCTTTCTGAAATGCCTTTGCGGATGGGGTAGCCACAGAGCCATCTCAAAACAAAAGGAGGGGCACCTGAACAGGGGCTCAAGCTTTTGACAACCTTTGCACTGGCGCTGGGGAAGGAGACCCATCCAGTGAAAGCATTGCAGTCTGGCAACAAAGCGACTTTGTCATGGCTAAAAGCAGCCTCGGGCGCGCCACATCTGAAAAACGCACTTTCCTCTGTGGTTGTGGCCCGGGATTGCGGCGTCGTGTGGGGACAGCAGAGCTTTGATGATAAATGCTGCACAGTCTGTGGGGAGCATGGCGCGAAGAGTCTTGATGCATTGGTGCCAAACCTGCGGAAGCAAACGCAAGATGCAAGCTTGCCAATGCTCACAGACTTCCTGGACCAGGAATGCCGAAAGATGCTTCCGGAGTCGAGGTGACTCCCCAACTCACAAAGCGCAATTGCTGTGAGTTTTAGCAGCAGCATGGGCGCCGTAATGCTGACTCTGCCGACATGCTGCACTGCCACGGCGGCCACATGCAACTACTTGTGAAGTGGGCTGTATCGAATTTGCTTGAAAGAGTTCTTCAGTGCACGAACCGTAGCTCCGAATCATTTCACCGTCTTAGGACTGCTTGGGAAATGTCACAGGTCTTTTGCATCTCAAGGTGCGTCACATCTACATCGAAACAGTAGGTAACAGTAGGTAGTGTGAATCCCTAGTGCTGGGGCTAAGTCAAAGCCATTGCCTAGAACTCAAGCCATAGCCATTGCCATTGTCAGAAACCAAATTTCTAGCAGTTGACGGAGCGCTTGCAATCCTGTGCAACCTCCCGACAAATCTAATACCAACTGTAGAAGTGGGATGTATCGGCATCTTGCTTGAAAGAGATTCTCCTCAGTGTGTGTGTGTGTGTGAACCGCAGCTCCGCATCATTCCATTTGCGTGGTCGGTCATTGTCTGAAGCAAGAGTATAGTTTCACTGCAGGGTCTTGTTTCACAAGGGTCATTCCAAGGGACGTGATCGTTCTCGTCCTGTAGAAGGTCAGAGGGCTTTTCAGGGGTTGGAAACTGTGCGGACAGCGCGCAGGGGAGGCAAGAAGGCTCACACAAGGCTGTCGCCCAAGTGGTGAAAAGAGAGGTGTGACTGGATTGCTGAGCGGTTGCAGCCCATGCATCCTCAGTGATCAGTATGCCACAAATATCCGAAATCATGGAACACGGTGAACTTCTATGGATCAATCCACAGCATCGAACTCGCTGATGATATTATGATATCTTCATCAACACCCGAAATGGGCCCACCTACCACGTCAAGGGCATTGCATGTTCGGAGATCCAACACCAAGAAATCGGGTTCCACTTCCGGTAGCAGTAGCTCTTGTCGGGTTGGGGTAGCGGTCCCGAAGCGGAACCGCAAACCAGTTCATTCCAGAACTTTTACTACTTCTACCACTTTCCAGTTTTACAACTACCACGATGTTGACAACATTTGCATCTTCTACAATCTTGAACATATACAACTTTGACGACTTACTGCTTCTACGACTTTGACTTTGCCAACTTTTCAATACTTCTGCAGGTCATAAATGTGAATATGTGTCCAACTATGTGATGCAAATTTCTCATCACATTGGTTAGTGCGCATGTCTTGGATGAAGGCTGTGGTAGACCACAGCGGGGCCTGTTGGCGCATATATATGTATATATACACAAAATAGAGTTAACTTACACAACTTTGGGGAGAAACCCAGTCGGTGTAGTAATCCCGAGCACCTATTAATAAACGCGCCCCAATTAAAAACACTAAAAAACACAACGTCCGAAGCCCTAAATTCGGCTTATATTTGTTTTTAAATTACCGCCCTTTCAAACCGCTACCTAACCTACCAACATGGTCGATTTTGGGGGTAGTTGTTTTAATTAGGTTCCCCCAAAACTACCTCGTCACACGCCACGTTTACACCAGCCGGCTTTCCTTCCTCCAATGGCACAGACTCACGCAAACGCACTTGCCTCCGAGGTCGTGCAAAACCGCATGGCACAGCGACATCACCTTTCGAAAGCTTTGGTTGTTAGTCTAATGAAGAATCAGTATTCTAATAAAGGTTTTTGTAGGGGAAAAGGAAGACCCTTCGATCTGGAAGTTTTTTTGAATTTTTGATACGAGAATAATGCATTTTTATATAAAATTTTTCTGGATGACTTTTTGGTTTTGAAGCTCTTCCCAGGTGACCCTATTTTGGACCCCCTATTTGAAAAATTGCGACCAATTTTTTTGTTTAATAGGGGGGCGGGGGGGCCCGTGTTTATTAATAGGTGGACGGGATTAGTTTTGTCCAGCATCTTCGCTGCCACCAATTATTGGTGGGATTAAAAAGGCTCCAAGACAAGTCTGGTGGGGCTCTTTACTACCACTCCGCAGTAGAAGATGGGACTTGGCCAGAACCAAAAGGCCCAGGTAATTACTAAGTTCCGAGAGTTCAACTAGAGCATGTCGGTCCCGAATGGATGGGGTTTCCAACTCCGAACCTGTTACAGTTGGAGGCTCAGGTTTCGATTGCCGTCAAAACCCAGCTGACTGCACCAAACAATGACACGCAGGCAGAGTCATGAAGAAAAAAAATACGAAACATAATAACAACAAAACACACACACACAACAACAACAACAAAAAAAAATACAAGAAAAAAACACACACAAAACAAAACAGCTGGCCCAAACCCACCCCCCAAATCAAACCCGCTTGGCTCCAGAATTTTTAGTGCTAAGAAACAGGCTGGTCTGGTCCGTCTGCAGCTGAGCCAGATTCCAAGAGCCCGAGGAGCCAGATTCCGAGCCCGAAGCGCCCGAGACCGTTCTTCGCGGCGCGTCAAGGTCGGGGAAACCGACCTCGGGGCGGACCGACCTCGGGTGAGTTGCTTCCGGATCGGTTCCGTTGCCTCGAGGCGCTCGGGGTTCCTTCGATCCACCGGACCCGGACTGACCCCTCCGGACGGTTCGGTTCGGGCGCCCGACCCTTCGGTTCGGCTTGGTGGGGTGAACGGAGCGGTCGTGTTGGACCGGTTTGCGTCCCGGCGCGGGTGGGTCACGGGTGGGACCCGGTCTGGCGCTTGGGTTGGGGGGGGGGGGGTGGGGAGGGTGGAGAATGGGGTGATGGAATGGATCTTCCAGAAGATCCAAGAGAGGTTGAACAGCCTTTTCTGAACCATCCCATATGTACCACTATAAGGGTCCTATAAGGTCTCTCAACCTTTCCAGAAGATGTGGAGAGAGGAGATCTCTCGTGTAGAAGCTGCTGGGGAGACACTTTGAAGTTACTTTTGGGGATTTTTGGGGTGGGGATCAGCACTGATGGGACCAGCAAGGAGCAACGCCCTAGAGGTCCTTAGAAGTCCAAAGGCCTTTGACTTTTCCTCAAGTGAAGTGAAGGTGTTAATTCCTAAGTCAGGTCCCCTAGTCAGACCAACATGTCTGTTCGCCGCAATCTCTCTCCGCGAACAATATACGTTGCTTCGGATATGCCTATCGGACTGGCCGTCGAAGATCTTTCGAGTCGGGCGTCACAAGAGTCTTTGGTTCCTATACAACTGAAAATGCGGGCATCACAACCCGGCGCCCTCAACCCTGGTACCAGCAGATCCGTGTCGAAATGATGGTCTTTATTCCCAATGAGGCGATGTGATTCACGGGCGGTAGTGTGACGTCCTGTAGGTCGTCCATTTTGTGCATGGCCACCGTGGCCAAGCAGAATTCCCTGGAACCGAGGACCTTCCACCAGTCTCCAGTGGTACCTGCTGTTGGGTTAGGTTCGGAGGGTTCAGGGGCCGCCCTCCAGGCCACTGGCCAAGTCGCTCCGCCCTGGCGCGGTGTGTCGTTATCTTCGAGGCTCACAGAGCCGAGCCGCGAGTGAGGGAGACATGGTGAGCCCTGGAGCTTGGTGGGTGGGTACAAGTACCTGGCCTGTTTTGATGAGGTCATGTCAATTTTTCTATAATAAGATACTTTGGAGGGTCCAGGTACATGTTGGCCTTGGACTGTGATGCATGAGCTTGTGGAACTTGTTGGAACGTGAACCTGATGTCCGACTATGATCACAAACAGGATCGTGCTATACAAAAGTATTATAGTGAGTCTCAGAAATGAATCCCTGCGAATCCAAGACTATCTTTGAAAAATAAGACAGTCTTTAGGTGACCCTTAAAGGAAGCTCCTTTAGTTTATCAAGGCAAACACAGTCTAGGGTAAGTCCATCTGGTGGATCTCGTTGCCAGCAGAAAACAAGTGGTGACTAATCATGTAGAAACTAGACATATGTAGACCATCGAACCTGACACGACCTGAGATGTAGCGACATGCATTTGACGATGGCTCTGGTTCGAGCTTTCCAGGGGGCCCAAGACTATTCAACGACATTCAACACATTCTTTTTAGGTGACCGCATGGTCAGGAATTTCAACGGACTTCTTTCAGTGGGGTTCGTGCCATCGTCCAACTCCTTAGCTCCTTTTGGAGTTCGTGCCATCTACTACTCCGAAACCACTGTATTGTGTTCTCCCCTTTCTGGTTTCCCTCTTCTGGTTTCAGGGGATGAGATCGCCGTGTGCGAGCGCTGGGATGAGTCCTCGAACGCTTGGCACGTGCGACGGGCGGATGGTCGCTTGCAGCTGGCCAGCCCTGAGCAGCTCATCGCGCTAGGCCGGATCCACGGCGCGGAAACGGGAGCGGCGACGACAAGGGAGGGCGGAAGAAAAGAGGATGGTGGGTTGGAGGTTCGCAAAGAACAGCTGAAGACCGGAGTGTGGCCGGACCTTGGGTTCCTCTAGCCTCAGAGGATCTCATGGACCAGAATTTCACGTGTGGTGGGAGCTTTTTCCTCTACGGCTCAGTGGTTTTGGGGGTCCAATCTGCAAAGAGAGTACTCAATGGGCGATCACCTGGGAGGTCGGACTGGTCGGGCGAAGGCTCTACTTTCTGGAGTACTTTGGAGTGTGCAGAGATGGTGTGTAGCTCCAGGTCAGGCAGACCCCCTGTTCAAGGACCCTCTGGGCTCGCAGGAACATAGAGCAGTCTACCCATTGGTGGGTGATGGTAGGTGTATAAACCGTTTGTCACCATATTCTTTAACTCACCCGGACCATCCTGCATGTTGGTAACTGTTGGTATATTTTATATGCGTAGTCCTGGTGAACCTTCCCAATATATATATATGGATAAATATGTGCCAGTCCCATGGATGGTCTGGGTTTTGTACTTCATTGTACCAAAGACCCCCTAGTCGGAGGAGTAAAAGATTTGATCCAATTCCGTTGAAAGTCCAAGGCGATTTAAAATATGGTTTGACTACGAGGACCTTCAAAGTGACCTCTTTGGAGTCTCTAAGTGATCTCTTTAGGGACTAAGTTACTTCATTCTAGGATCTGAAAAGATCACTTTGAAGGTCCTGGTAGGTGACCCGATTTCAGAGTGTCCCTTTACTTCAGTGGTGCTTTTGGGACTTCGGATGACTTGGATGCATCCAACCTGCAGGCGGCAACGAAGAAGGTGATGACTTGGATGGAGAAGAGCTCACACTGGAAGAGCTTCAAGAGCTAGACCAGGCCGAGGCCATCTGTCACATGGTTCACATGTATCGATATGCCCTTATCAGTTCGTGCATCTTCACTGAACAGAACTCTTCCATGGACGATCCGCTTGGACTTCAGGTCCTCTTTCAGGCTCCAGTTGGACCATTTTCGTCCCTTTAAGGTTGACCTTCGTAGATCTTCCCAGCGGATTCCAGCATGGCAATGGAGTTCTTTTGAAAGTCTTTGACGTTCACCTTAAGGACTTCTGGATTTGGCCAAAACACACCACTTTCGAACTAACATGGCTTCGTGGAGTTGCTGCGACCCTCTTTGTAGCGGTCTGAAATCGGGGCCATGTTCCATCATTTTCCACTTCCATGTTAGTTCCAGGGGGAGCGTACTCCATGGCCAAAACCTGGACTATCGGGGCTATCTAGACTCCGAATCCTTGAAGCACTTGAGATTTGAAGGTCCAGATTCAGAAAGACACACATCAGCCAGAAGTTCCATGCCTTTAAGCCTTTAAGATCTTTTAAGTCCCAACACTCCATCACAGTGAAAGATATATATATATATATGGAGACCCAGAGCACTCCCTTCGTTGGGCACTCCCTTCCAGACTTGAGCAGGTGTTCAGCTAGGTCTTTGGTGTGGGACCATGTCTACAGATCTCCGTCTTTGCCAGGAGCCGCCCGCCAAGCGGAAGAGGTCTCAGCTGGTCATCGATCTAAAAAGGATTGCGCAGCACGGGAACCGGTGCCCGGCCGATCCTGTGGAAGGCAACACATGTTTACGGCACTTTTGCTTGACATGGAGGACATACTCACTAGTCTACAGCAGTGTTCCAGAGGTCGTGTCTTTGCAAAGCAATTGTCCTTGCAGCCATTTGTGTTTTTTCATGTCCGCTTCTTTGGGGCTACTTGGGGCTTGTAATTCAAATCACCTTATAGAAGAGCAAGGACGTTACTGTTGACATCACCCCTCATGATCATAGGATCACCAGGCATTATGCGCAGGCAAAGCAGGCAACATGTTCAGCAGGGAGAATGCAAGTCGAGGATGACAAAGGCCAATCATTTGTTTGAATTTGTCCTCTAGTATGTCCTTTAGTAAGCATTTCTGAGATCATCCACGGCTTCTCACTAGTTGGAATGGTGAGTGGTTTGCCCTGCAGTCTGCTTTAAACAACTATATATTATACCAGCTGCTTCCAAGGGGTCACCAATGGATATCACACTACTTACAGGTCTCCATTAGGCACCCCTTGGAGGGTCCTGGTATATAATATATCATATGATCAAGGTGTTCTTTGTGAAGTCATTGGGTTGTAGCTCCGCTCCCTCCAGCTTCCGTCAGCTCCCTCCACCGTCCAACCATCCAACCTCCGGCGACCCCGTTCGGACCGATTCCGAAGATGGGGTGTGACCAAAGAAAGAACATGCCCAGACGCTCATTGACCCTCAAACTGCTACGTGTTTGAGGTCCAAAACCCTAGTTGTGAGGGTCAAAACCCTAGCGAACTGAGGGTCCAATGAGCGTCTGGGTGGGAAAGAACCGCGTTTGGCTCGGTTGGTTCCCATTGTCCTGAGGAATGAACTGCCCTGGGACGCTGCGAGGGGACGGACATGAATCCTCTGGAGGGGTCGGACCCGAATCCGACCCTCATATGGGGTCTGGGGTCGAACCATTCCCTAGGTTTTGAGGGACCAGTCGGGCTGATTGGAGCGTTTGGGTGGTAGTGATGTTCGACTCCAACATGATTCAACTGCTCAATCGATCCATTTGGCACCCCAAGGTGGTCACAACTTGTGGGTCAGTGAAGAGGTCGCAACTCTGGCACCCCAAGGTGGTAACGACCGACAGAAACAGGTCCGACCCAAGCACCTGGAGGTCAACCCGTGAGTTGGACAAAATGGGTAGATCGATCTACGACCCTTCAAAGTGACCACTTGGGATCCCAATGAGGTCACTTTAGTCGCGCAAAGAAAGAGACTCCAAAGAGGTCACGAACTGAAGGTCCTGGCATACCTGTGTCCATGGTCCCATTGTTTTCCGCTACCGACCGGTCCACAGGCACGGCGTTGACGCAGCTTCTTTCTGGTACCGAACCTCAAGAGTGGCATTCTTTGAGGCCTACAGTGGGCCTACAGTTGCTGGGGATCCATTGCCACCCTCTGAGGTACGGTGATTGGACACTATTTATGGTAGGCGCCAGGGTGGACATGTTCTTCGCACCCGAACCCTACATCGTTAGGAGCCCATAGCCATCGTTAGGGCGCATGGTAGTCACTGCCCTTCGACCAAAGAAGAGGTTCGATCATGTTCGAGCTAAGGCTCTCTCTGCGATGCTCTTCTGCTTCTGCGCGTTGCATTTGCTGCGGAGACTCGGGATAGAAGAGACAAAGCCAAGGAGGGAGGAGACGAGCCCACAGATATCGACAGCATGGAGGCAAGTGAAAACAGCATGTTGGTTTAATCCCAGGGACAGCTTGTAGGTGAGAAACACACAACACGGAGGTAACCATGGGGGGTACCGCGTCCCTTGTGAAGTTCATCCGTAGTACGTCACATCGTGGATTAATTGATCGTGTTCTTTTTTGGAGGGCTCAACTGGATGGGTATACTCCACCACATACTCAGACTAATTTCTGTGCAGATTGCAGCTTTTGTAGTGAGCAGAAAACAAGGGGTAGACGCATGATAGAACAGCAGATGACATCCTTCGACAGGCGACCATTTGTAACTACGTCGGTAGGGTACCTGGACGATTTGTCAATCCTGCTTGATCATTTTTTTGCTAGACAATAATCCACCTAATTTATGTATGGCATGAGTCCTGGATTAATTTCTGATATGTATGTGAAGGTATAGCGGATTAATATCGATATTAATCCAGGGAGTCTGCACAGTACCGGTACAAATGCGCACCCCCCATGATCTACCTCTGTACGGCTATGTACGTGCAGTTGGCAGCAAGATGTTTTGCCCTCCGGATGTGCTTGGTGCTTCCCAAGCAGCATGAGAAAGGGAGGAAGGAGAGCAGCCTTGGATCTGACTGAGCACCTTGGGACCTGAAGGAGACCCTGAAACACTGACTGGTGCGATGGCCGGAATGAGGGTGGCGAAAATCCGGTGGATCTCTGTCTCTTTGGAGTCAGCCAGCCTCATTCCCTACGACCAAGTAGTAGAAGCACCAGTAGTCACCAGTCACCTTTGGGTCCAGATTCGTTGGTTCCAGCTTTTCTGAGCCCCAAAAACATCACTTTAGGGCCAAGAGCTTGGGGTCCTCATCGTGGGGTTTTCTTGAGACACGTCATCTCAACTGGTTGCAGTGCCTTTGAACCCATCGTTTGATGGAACAAAGATGATCCTCCATGGATCCTCTCCAAAGCAAGTGATGAATTGGCCAGTCCTTATGGATTCTTCGGGGCCCAAAAACATGGCAAAACCATTGAGTTCTACCAGGACCATCCAATGGATGTGGACTACCCTACCCTACACTACGACATGTCCATTGGACACCCAAAAAGGATGGTCCAGGTCTGTTCTACCTCATTCCCTTTCCACCCAGGTCCGCTCTTCCCTTTTCACCGCCGTTCTTCCACCCCTTCGGTCGTCCGAAAAGGGCGGTCGGTCGAGATCCGTTCCGGTGGGCGGTCGTCCGAGATGGGGGTGATGGTTCCAAGCATCTTCCCTGAGAGACTGAGGTCACTGGTGTGACTCCAAAGATAAAATGATTAGCCTGATTAGAATATGTATAGAGTATAGCCAGTATAGCTTATAAGGATGTATCAGACGTATTCTTTATGGGTTTGCCTTACCTCATGGTGAGATGAAGGGTAAGGCAGACTCTTATATACTACTGCTAAAACCAATTGTTCTTGTTAGTTTTCTTAAAGGCAATCTATTTTCAAGGCATCCAGTCTGTCCAGCCTGATTGGTTCAGGAAGCATTGCGTCTTGGGGCGTACCTTGGAGCGTTCTCTCGTGATCAAGAGCGAAGAGGACAGACCGGGACGAAGTCGACGAAGTCGAAGGAGACGGGCCACATGAGACACATCCTTTGGATCATCATATGAATCATACCTAGCGCTTCCAAGGGGTGCCCAATGAAGACCTGTAAGTAGTGTGGAGATATCCATTGGTGACCCCTTGGAAGCAGCTGGTATGTTTATATATAGTTAGTGTATGTTTTTGTGTATACGAGATCTATTATAATGAACTATGATATATGATGGAAGGGCTTGGATTTTGAGCATCAAAAGATCATACATGATTCTATGATCATATGTATATATATATATATCCCTAGGGATTCAAGTACCTTCTCCTGGACCCTCCTGGCACCCACCCCAACCCCAGTCCCACCTTCTGAGAAGGTACGACTCCTCCTGGCACCCACCCCAGTCCCACCTTCTGAGAAGGTACGACTGGATCCCTAGTGCCCTAGGGTATACTACATGGTCTACTCTTAGGACCCGCAGACCGCAGTGCAGACCGCACCGGCTTGACCGGTTCGGTTCGGTCCCGCTGACCGGCACCGGCTTCACTCTCAGAGACAAGGAGCCCGGAGCTTTCACCCCAATGGCCAGGGGTGTGGGTGTGAGAGCACACTCCGAGGTATCCTGGACCAGTCAAAGGTAATCCTGGGCCGGGCCTGCTTCCTACAAACAGGTCAAGATCCAGGATCATTTGGAGGATGATCCGGATGATTTGGATGAGGATCCGGATCATTTGGAGGATGATCCGGATGATCTGGATGATCTGGATTTGTTGGCCACTTGTGATCCAGGTTGCCTTTTGGCCAGAGTTAGACTTAGAGTCATGGCCGTTCATAGTCGTTCATGTTTTCCTAGATGGTCGACGGCAGGGGCAAGAAGTTCAAAGAGGAGCTTGACCAAACAGAGGATTTGATCCGTCGACCATATTCTACCGAAGCACCTCAGATGCGCTCTTCCTTGACCGCACAGATTTTTCTGAGCATGCGTGACCAAAACAAAAAATAGCAAACCTGCCTAGGATTCAAACAACCATTGTTTTAATGGTCTTTACCAAAGAGCCATTGTTTTACTAAGGATTTTTACACTACACCACCAGCTCAACCGTTCTTTTAATGGTCTTTGAAGGCTAGGGAATAGAAATTAGAACGACAGCAAATCCCTAAAGGAGATGTCTTGCGGATGGGTCGTTCGGAGCCTGACAGGAGTCACAATGTAGCGAACCACCTCCGCAGGTCAACCAATGTATGCCAGGGTTTGACACCACCAGCTATAGCCAGGTGCACTGTTAGAAAGTCCATTCTACCGTGCACCCGTTCGCCAGAAAGCCTCTCCCTTCGCACCCGAAAACGCCTTCTTCGCTATCGACGGGTGCGTTGGGAGCCTTGAGCCTTCGATGGTCCAGATGGGTGGTCTGCAGTGCTTGCAGTACTTGCAGTTGGTCGCAGGAGCGCTGGCGCCTCATCGATGCGATCGATCATCAACTCTGTCTCAAGGAGGCGGTTTCCAGCGAGTCTGCAGTTTGGCCCGCAGGAGTCGGTGCGAAAGGAACATGGTTACAGAACTACCATGAACTAGCTGGAACTACCATGACACACCCTGTTTTCATGGCACTTTCAGGCACACACTTCTGAAGACCTGGCTTTGGATCAACACCCAACCTCCCATCCACATCCACCTCCGCGACCGGGCAAGCCTCACAGTCGGCATGGGAGGAAGCGACCGCGTGTGACCAGCGATCCCAGTTCGGTCCATGGTACAGACATGTCCCACAACGCGCCCCTATTTAGATCTAATAGTCATAGGGACAAAAAACCATCCATGACGTGTGGATATGTGTGGATTGCTTCTAGCTTATATACAAACAAACATAACATATACATCATTTGGAACACTACTAAACAAATACATGAAGCATACGGAGCATCATATGGGACGCTTCATGTGACGACACACATGTTCAGCACTTTTGAACCGAACTGGTGCATCAACCCCATGGGTTGTTGGGGTACTTCATGGGTTGTTGGGGGTTCATCCATGGGGAGATGGCACCGTGTGAGATCTTCCATCCACTCAACAAGCACCAGAATGCAAGAAGGGAGAGCTCGCACAGCTATCTTCCAACTTTCTCTCTCTCACACACACACACTAGCCCGGGCCAGAGTTGTACTACCCAAACCCAGTCATCTACCCAAACCTGGTCGCGAGCATATTATTGTGGTTTTGAGCCGCACGCGGCATTGGTCTCCAAGACGCAGGGTCACTGCAACTTTGAAGTGTTTTGAGGTTTTTCACCTCGTGTCCACGTAGAAGACCTTTGGACCATGTGGACGTAGAAAACCTTCGCTTCGGTGTCACGAAGACATCGCGTGCGGTCCATGCTGTCACGAAGACATTCACGAAGACTCTCTCGGCCAGTTGTGGGGTCATGGGGTCGGAGGCTGGGGGGCGAGTTGAGATACTCCCTGACATGTTTATTTGACACTCTGACCCCACTAGGTCACGAACGACCCACTCACTACTTGTCAGTGGTGGGCCCAAAATTGGGCCCCGGGAAAGAGCACAGTTTATAGCCTCTACTACCAATCATGGGTCCTGCGTTTTCCACGTCGTGATCTGTAGCAATGAGCTGAGCGCCGCTCACCGCCAGGCCGTCAAGCTGTGTGGAGTAGGCCGCATGCTCGGGACTGACCGGACTGAGAAGAAAGGATGCCCTAAAGGATGTACGAAAATGGGTATACACGCAATTAAGTATTATATTGCAAGCTTGTACATTGTAGCTGTTTTATACAGTGAGGTTTAAGGAAGTTCGGAACTCAGGTACTTTTAAGGTTAAACAAAGACCCTTCTTGTGATCGGTGTACGACTCTCAGTTAGCAGCCAGGAATGCCTGAAAACCCGAGTCCCGGATTTTTGTTGCGGACCGAGTCCGCTTGCGTTTGACCGATCCATTCTTGGACCCTGGAAACGCACAAAACATCTCAAGAGATTCCTTTGTTTGGGGATTCCATGCATTTGCATCATTAGTACCCTCCCTGCAACAAGCATGGAAGCTGACTGTAGAGGAAAGCTGTGTTCCAGGGAGATAAGGTTCCACTTTCTGGTTCTGTCAGAGAACGGAAGGTGTTAGGTCCTTCCCGTTGACAACATGAGCCCAGGTTCACCACCTTCGAGGGTTCCAAAACAGGCAAACCCAATGGAGGGTCCTGGTAGAACTGATCGAACTATTGTATAAATATTTGAAATACCCTACGGATCCAGTCGTACCTTCTCAGAAGGTGTTTGGGGTGGGTTTGGAGGGTCCAGGTGCCTTCTGAGAAGGTAATTGGATCCCTAGGGATATGGTAAAGAGACCAGTGACAAAGCAAAATTTGGCACAGCAACCATTTTCCCTTCCAAAGTCCCTGTCACTCGATTTCCGGGTTTTCTCCGGAAACCGAGGTCCGAAAAAGCTAATGACGTCTTCCAAACGAACCACATCTCCTTCGGTTCGTGTCGGGGTCGTCATCGTAACACCGGTGCCAGACTTGCCCGCGGGATCTCAGTTGGTGGATGATGTCGGGAAGCCAAGCGCAGAGTGCAGCAAAGAAAACCCATACCTGGACCCGACTTCCAGTGGACTATGAGACATGACATGACCCTGTACCAGGGCCCCCTGTTTCTGTCTGGGGTGGTGAATTATTGGACACCTCGAGGCGCCTCTACAAGTCTATAAGTATAGCTATTAGACACCCCTTAGGGAGCCCATATACTGTAGATTTGTTCTCATTTTGCAAGGTACAAGTCTACACTCCAGGTAGCGTCGAAGGCAGCGAAGTCGGAGGCATGGAAAGAACAGAATCCATGATGAGTCCATGAGGCTGTTAGGAAATACCTGGAGTCTCAAAGTACCTCAGAAATGGGTACCAGTATATACCTGTCATGTATATGGCTGTGTCCCATTTTGGGGGTACTTGAAGTCGGGCCCAGGTGGTCCTTAGGTTTAAGATAACGCGGACCCAGACAGCCAGGGGTCAAGATGAAAAAAATAAAAAACAACAACCTACTCAATACGAACTCAGACCAGAAACTCAGATTCCAAAGCCACTCAAATGAGAGACTCAAATTGGACTCAGATTGGACTCAAATTGGACTCAGATTGGACTCAAATTGTACTCAAACATGGTTTTTGAGTTGTTTTTTGAGTTTTTTTGAGTTTTTTTTGAGTTTGTTTTTGAGTTGTTTTTGAGTTTGTTTTGAGTTTTGTTGTTGAGTCTGTTTTGGATTTGAGTTCTTGAGTTGATTATTTTTTGATTATTTGTTGTTTTTTAATTTTTTCAATGATTTCAGCCCTGTCTGGTCACTGCGGGGTCTTAACCTTAGGTGACCTGAACAGGAATTCCCATCAATTCCTTTACTCCGGTGCTGAAATCTTTGGACTTTGAGGGGCATGTTGTTGAATCATTGCCAGCTGCTGACTGGCTGCCACTGGTGTCACTTGGGATATCTTGGAACGCAAGAAGCCAGCTCAGGTGTTCATAGAGTCCCTATAGCCTTTCAAGAGCTTTGAAAGAGTTCGGTTGACCTGGTATTTGTAATATGGGTGTATTGGAATAGGGCCCCCCCCCTAGATGCCCTGACCGGTCTGCCCATTGGTCAACCAGGCAACTCGTGTGCCATGACTAGAGCCATGTGGACCTAACCCTGGAAGTCCGTTCAAGCTTTTTTACATGGTCGATCTGGTTTCTAGTCATATCCTGCGTACCCTAAGAATCCGAACGGGCCCTCCATGGCAGGGGACCCCGACACCTTCGAAGGGGTCCGGTTACCAAACCAAACCCTATATGTTGGGAACCGGGTCCGGATTCGGTCAAACCAAGGATGGATTCAGGAGGATTCAAGCGCTGATCATCGGTGGCCAACTCGGTTCCCGATCTGCCAGGGTCTCCGTTCTCTCGAAGTGACCACCGAATGTCACCAAGGTGGGTGGAGGCTTTTCTGGAATGGATGCCTTCTTGAGGACTGGCATGGACTGCGCAGGTGTTCTGTCATTCCGTTCTCGGTGTGTGGTTTAAAAAGGGATAACCCCAACCAACGGATGTTTAGTCTAGTTTCCTTCTTCCTGGGTGTCTTTGGGAGGTCTGCCTATTTTGATACACAGCCCTCTTGGGTGTTCTTGTTGCATCCTCAGCACTTGTTTGCGCCTACGACGCTATCCGGGGCCCTGCACGAGACCACCATTTTTGGAATATTCGCGGGGCCTCCGGATATGGGCGTCGCCTTCGCATAGACTCCGTGTTGGTGGGGTGGGGGGGGTTAGGCTGGGGCACAGCCCTTTCACACCTTCACGCAGCCGTATACACCTTCACGCAGCCGTTGCACCACATGCAGCACCCAGGACCCATCAGGACCCTCTAGGGGTGCCCAATGGAAGCCTATAGGTAGTGTGGGGTAGTCCATTGGACACCCCTTGGAGGGTCCTGGACACTGTGAACGAATCGTTTTTCCTTGTGTTTTGTTCTCTTGTTTCGTTTGAGCCGCTACTTTTCCGCTGCCCGTGCAAGCTAAGCTGGTGCCACCATAGAGTCGACCCCCGAATGAAAGGTTTGAGGAAATACAAGAAACACATTTGTTGGACGGGTTTAACCCAAGAAATGCATGATTTGGGGGGATGGCAGCAGAGCTCTTGAAACAGTCTATGCCCAATTGGCCTGCTCATGAAAAAGACTAGTTTAATGGTTTGAATCCCGAAGCGCCGAGCTGTTGTACTAAGGATTTTACACTACAACATACTACAAAACCAAGTCCTTCCCATGTTTTGTCAATGGTCGAACGGACTTCCATGGCAATCCCAGTCAGAAACAAGTCTGAAAGGAACTCCAGTCCCAAGGATGTGTCAGAGGATCTCAAGTACTGTAGGGGTATATTTAAAAAGACATGTTTGGTTTTTTCCCACCAGCTTGCTGGGAGCCACCAACTCCCCCCCTGGACGCCTCCTTAGGAGAACGCCCTTGGGTCACAGCGCGGCGGTCGCTGTGCGGCTGGAAAAACTCGATCCGCCCGGGGTGCCCGGAGGTTCAGTGGATCGACTGGACCAGACTTATTTCAAGTCCCTAGGGCTCCTGGCCCACCTGAGGTTCAATGGTTGGGGTGGGTGCCAGCGAAGTCGAATATCACCGAACCTGAGGATATGGGCCAGGAGGATTAGGGAGTAGACCCGGGAAGAGACCTCACCTGATGGCACGGACCTTTGGAAAGCAATTTGCCTCTACAAACAGGGGGTGTTCAGGTTCCATGGTTACTCTCCAAGGACGTACCTTATAGAAAGTGGGACATGACACCAACAGAAAAAACACATGTATATAGACGGTATAGACGGATCTGTAATGACCCATTTTTTGAGGTACGAACGGGTCGACCCCAGGTGCAGGTGAGCAAGGCGCATGCCTGATGCGTGGTGAAACATGTCCAGGAAAAGTGGAGCTGCTGTTGGACCGGACATTTGGGTGCGCATCCCACTGAACATGAACAGGTGACAGACAGTTTGGATCACCTTGATTTTTCAATGAAACAGATATAATCCACCTGCCTTTTTCATGTGGTCGGGGGGGTTCAATGGACCTGGAGGGCACCTGAACCCGACGGTCGAGTCGAC